ATTATTAAATATATTAAATAATAATATATTAAATAAATAACATTATTAAATATATTAAATAATAATATATTAAATAAATAACATTATTAAATAAATTAAATAATTATATATTAAATAAATAATATTATTAAATATATTAAATAAATAATATTATTAAATATATTATATTAAATAAACATATATAATACAAAAACGATTTCAAAAAAGAGGGAAGAAAATGAAAAAAAAAAAAAAAGTGAAATCCGTTTTCAGAAAACAGAAAACGAAAACGAGAAAATGAAAACACATTTTTTTCGTTTTCTGATTTTCACAAAAAGACAAAAACGTTTTTGGTTTTGTTTTTAAAAAAAAATTGCACCAAACACATTTTTAACACCCGTTTTCATTTTTTTGCTTTGAAAACCGTGAAAAACGAAAATGAAAATACAAACAAACAGGCCCTCAGATTTAGAACTGCTCTTTAGTTCAAGTTTTCAAATCAATTGTTTAATATAAATCAAAAAGAACGTTGTCAAAACTTATTTTGAACCGACTTTTAAGTTCAAAACACATGAGCCAAATTACCAAATGGTAACATTGAAAATTATAAAATTTTGAGTGCGATTAGAATTAGTTTTAAAATAATTTTATTTTCAATAAAAAGTAAAAATGATATTGTTTTGAGAATTATTCTGAGACCGATTTTGAGACCGATTCTGAAATTGTGTTTGGTTAATTTTTTAAAAGATTATTTTAAATATAATAAAAAAGTGAAATCATGTTAATTAATTAATATATTATAATATTATTAATAAGTACTAAAAAATAAAAACAAAAAAGTTAAAGTAATTTTCAACTATTTTCTAATTCTTTCACAAAAAGCATTCTTACTGTTTTCGTTTTCAAAACATTTACTAAACAAACGCCGTTTCATTTTCATTTTTTACTTCTCAAAATACGTAAAAATTATTTTTAAAAACAGTTCTAAACACGCACTTTGATTCCCGCCCACCTTTTTTCTCACAAATATCTACAAGTGAGTTCATGCTTCAGATTATTGAGAAGCTCGCTTTGGATTATTTTGATGCGAACTCGAGATTTTTCTAATGTGAGCTTGATCTCATCATCATGCGACCTCTATTCGACCAAGGTTTGAGAAAATATTTTAGCTCATTTAGATGGTGCATTTGAACTGTATATGTTTACGTTAATTAGGGTAGTAATTCGTGTCAGGTGTCATATTTTGATTGTTTTTTTTCTAAATTTACAGTCAATCCGAACACAACATGTGACACGAAATTTTTTAAAAACTACAATACGAACACGACACGACCACTTTACGGGTTGACACGACACAACACGAAAATGACCCGTGACACGAAATTAACCCATGAACCCAAAATTGACACGAAAATTGTATACTTTTATTCAGTTTTTTACATATTAAAAATAACTTAAAATTCATAACACGCTAAAATATAATAACATCCATTGAAATTAAGCAAATAATGGTATAAGATTTTGAGAATAACTATCATGATATCACAAGTTCATAATAAAATAAAAAATATGTAATAAAAATATATGAATTTTTTAGTTTTTTACAAGTTTTGTGTCGTGTTCGGGTTAGGCGTGTCCAACCCGAAAATGACCCATGTTTTTCGTGTTAATTTCAGGTCGATTCAATTATGATCTGAATCTCTTTTTTCTCAACCTTAACCCGCGAAATTCGTATCATTTTTTAATCGTATTGTCATATCATGACCTATATTACCGACCCTAACGTCAAATATTAAAACATGTTTCTTCTTATTCTTCTTTTTTTTTCTTTGAAAGGATATTTCTTCTTATTCCCACCTTTCTTTCTTTTATTTTGTCGTCATGTCAAACATACATGCATATGTACAATAAAAAGGTCGTTCCATGTACAGAGAAAAACATATAGATAACATTGATGACGTACGTATAGTAGTTATTAGTTATTAGTCACGGTTTAGTTTAGAAGTACACTTTTTCGGATTTATATTCGGCTAAACCTAGACTAGTATAGTCATTTAAAGATAATCAACACGTTTGAAAATGTTTAGTTATATATTAGGAATATTTAGACGCATTAATTACGGTGAGCAATAAAATTGTTGAATAAAGGAAAAATAAGAATATAGAAGATTTATAATGGTTTGCTTAATGTAAGAGTTATGTCTACTTTTAATATATTGCTACAGAAATTCTCTATGATGAAAGAGAAGATTAGAAGAGAAATCACACCTCACATCTCTCATAGCCTCTCTGGTTTTTTTTTTTTTTTTTTTTTTACCCCAAAAAAAAAAAAAAAAAAAAAAAAAAAAAAAAAAAAAAAACACCAAATTTACATACAATTGTGAATACGTCAAAGTACCCTTAATTCGATCTTGGTGTTGTCTCTATGTTAAAGCAATACATTACAAAATTGGCTATTCAATATACTCATCATTTTGTTATTGTGTAGATTTAGTATGAGCTCGACTCTTTCATATACTGATCGCTTGATCAAGCCATACGAATAAGAAATAGAACTACAAATTGAAAGTAAAATGTTTCAGGCACCATCGACGCTAAGCTCCCTAACTAATAGTAAACGGGATCATCAATACGAAGCACTATAATTAATAAAAAGTAAACTTTATTTGTGAGTTTTGTATTGTGGGGTCCACATTTTATTAGTATACGGTGCTCAACACCATTACAGTCCCATAACATATTCCAATTTAAATTATGTTCATTGTTCGTAATGCAGCAAGCCTAATTAAAATATAATTGTCAAGCATTTTCCTGTTGAATGTGGAAATAATTTCCAACAAAGTCACTATAGAATCTCTTTTTCCCCTTGAACCTTAAGGTAAATAGTACCCCGTTTGATAAATTTTAAGCTGCAACTTTTTCCTTTGAAACTTAAATTAACAAAAAAAAAAAAAAAAACTGAGAGGAATAAGCTCTGCGTGGCCTAACTTATATGTTTCCGAAAATAAAATAATGCTTTTATACATCTAGCCGCACGAATGCCAGTCTTGGAAAAAGAAAGTTGGAATAATCAGAACATGAACATGGACTATATACATGCATATATATTATTCATACGTATGCACGCCGGATTCTGATCATATCACATTATAAAATGAGTTACGACACAAATTTGGACCATTGTCCAATTCCCTAGCTACCGACAGAAATATATATATATATATATTATATATATTATATATATGCTATTATTCCTGATTATGAGAAAAAAATGAAAAACATAAATAACAAAAATGAGATTAAAATAAAGAGAATTTTTATGGTGTAAAAGGTTATTTTACTTTACTTATACGAACTGTTATTTTTAACCGTTAACTTAATTTTTTAACAATTAAATCTATTTATATTTGTATTAAAAATTTTACTCTTAATACAAATTTAATAGTTAAAACACAGTTCCTACTAATAAAGCAAAATAGTCTTGATCTCTATTATAACATTTTGCCCTTTTTGTGTTGAATCCTTTTTGGCATATGTAACACTTTCAGACGTGTCCGCAAATCGTTTCCGGCAAAAATACACGCAACGAGATGAATTAGTTTGGCAGCTATTTTCTCAACTAATACCGGAATTTTGAAAAACTAACAACAATTGTATATAGCGTGCCGTGAACCAATAATATTACATGACACTTACACCTAAACTACATGTTTTCCCTAATTAATCTCGAAACTTGCACAACAACTAGCTTGTTTTAGTATATATCTTGTCATACACACGTAAGAAGAGAAGCGCATAGTTGTTAGGTTCACATGATCATATCTAATCAACTGCCTAATTTTAGGGTGCTAAATGTACTTACTAGAATATTATCATTATAATCTATCACTCTCTCTCATGGGTTTGGTGGGTCAAGAGTGGGGTGGTTATTCAGTTGGCGTTTTAAAAACTTATCCATAGCAAATGGAGAGATGTAGGAAACTTTTATAATGGTGAGAGAAAAACTAGAAACATTTTTGCGAATTTGTGCCTCTCCGTGAATATGATAATTTGCGTATTTTACGTTAATTTGCAGATTTTGAATGTTGTAGTTGTATACTTTATAGTAAATTTTATTAGTTTACCAATCCATTTCAAAAGTTTAAGCTATTAAGAAGTTGGCAAACAATAATTTTTATACTTTAACACTCACTCTCACATGTGAGTTGGACAATGAACAATCGTGTAAGTAAATTAATTAGAAAGCCAACACGTGAATATTTAAGTCTGAGATATATTAAAGACCCAACACATGATAATTTTAAATGGAGATAAAGAGTGTAATTACAAGAATTTAAACACAGAACTTCCGCTCTGATATCATGTTAGTTTATGGTAAATTTGTAGTTGTATACTTTATAGTAAATTTGTAAATCTTAAAAGAAACAAGATAATTTATATATTTAAAAGATATATTAATAAACTTTAAACGTTAAGTTTTAACGATAAATTTGTGAACCGGCGTGAGTGACGACGCCGTAAAAAGACTCGAAGATATATGTCCAGCTCAAGATCCCAAAACTATAAATTATGAAATCATCACGAGTACTATAATAATATTTTACAGTAAATTAGCTTAAACAGAACTTACTTGAACCATATAATTCATACACATCCAAAAGTATGCAAACAAAAGGATTATACAATTATTAATGAACGGTACTACGTCCCTATTTTTCTCAACTGATCATCATCATCATCATCAAAATACAACCCACCCTACAAAACAAGAAGCTGATGATCATCATCATTTTCATCACATTCAAGAAAAAAACAAAAGAGAGAAATGAGAAAAGGAACAGTACGTATTCTATTTTCCCTTGGCCATATAATCTCCCAAATATGCACTTTGTTGTTAGATTTTATTACCTTCCCCTTAATCCAGCCTTGCCATGGTGAAAGGAAAACCGTCTTTCCCTCTACTTTTCCTTCCTCCTTTCAGCTCTCTGCTTCTGCTTCTTCTTCCTCGTCGATAAAGCCGATTTCTTTCCTTCCTTGTCCAAGCTTTTGCAGCACTTTTTTCCATCCTCCCGATCACCACCATCATCATCATCATCTTCCTCCTCCTCACGCTGGTAAAACGTACTGCTCTCTCCGTCAAAACGACGTCGTTCTATGCGATGATTCTTAGGTCCAGAAGAAGCGTCAGAAGCCATGGAATCATCATCATCCCCGTCGTCGTTGTCGTGTCGTTTACCTCCCTTATTGTCGTCGTCGTTGTTGTTGCTGCTGTTACTATCATCGTCATTGTTCTCTCCATAATAATCACTGATCTGCTGATCATTTTCGTCGTCGTTTTGAGGCGAACCGAGGTACATTGTCCACCCGGACTCACTGCTTTGACACTCCTCGGCTCCTCCAAACACTTGGGAAGATTCCATAACACACCAAAACGACAACAAGACCAGAAACCAACTTCTCTTAATTAAAACACCTGAGAAAGAAGAAAGAAAGAGCTATAAGAAAGAACCCACTTGTGCCTTACAACGTTTTTAATGAAAGCTACCAAGTATATATAATTGATAATATATATATATATATATAGTAGATATCCAACACTTGTAGACCACCTGGAAATTATCTAAATACCTTATAATTAATAATAAGTTTGCTTCTTTTCTGACTTGGTACTGGTTCAGAAGACAGCTAGAAGCTGAGGGATGAAAGTGAAATCAGAGTTTCTTGAATTCGAAAGGACATGTGGTTGTTCACTGGGTCATAAGGGAACAGGGGAGATAGAAATTCAATCACCATTAATATTTCTCTCTGCAAAATGCCATTATTATTATTATTATTACTAAATGTAAAAGAAGGAAATATAGCTTTAAATGCAAAAGGCAGAGAAAATGGCTCAGGAAGGGAAGAGAACTTGGTTCAATATATATATATATATATATATATATAATATATGTGTGTGTGGCTAATATATTATTAATTTTTTTGTCATGTAAATGGGAAAAAAATGAGCAGCAGGCTTTTTTTGCCTCTGGAAAAGAATGCAAAGTGACCCAACTGGATTTTTTTTTTTTTTTTTTTAAGATTATTAAAGTCTCATTTATTTTATTAATTTAATTTTATTATAATAAAAAAAAATTTAAAAATAATTATATTTAATTTTTTTATTATAATAAAATATTCTCACATAAAATTACATTTTAATTTAAATTAATAAATTAAACGGATCCTAAAACCGCTTTTATTAGAGGAAAAAAATTTTGTCCGAAATTATATTCCTGTCAGGCTGCTTTGTGCTAGCTATACATATACTCCTGTCCTCGTCCAATTTGCTTGTTTCTGTCTCCTCAGAAAGCAGGTCTCTGTCTTTTGTGTTCTTGGGGAAAGAACCAACGGTTCCACTCAACTCAACTATTTGCTCTCCATCCTCTAAACATTGCTTTAATTATCTCAAAAAAATGTGCCATAAATATCTAGTTATAATGGAATTAGGTATTGAAAAAAAAAAAAAAGTTGATTTTTTTCGGAAAGATCCCTCTTTTTACTCTTTCAATAAGAATTGTTGTTTTAGACATTGACTTAACTTTTTAACAGTTTGATTGATGATTATAAATAATTTTATGCCGTAAGATGTAAACGTTTATTGTGAATAATTATAAATCAGACATTGAATAATTAATCTAACAATTAAAATAACAATTTTTATCAATAGAAAAAAAAAAAAAAAAAGATAGTTCAAACCACAGAAGTTTCCAAAAAAGACCTATAATAATATAACTCGTAGCGAATGTTTTTAACCAGAAAAAAAAAAATTGATCCAATTTGCATACTATTGTTAGGTATGTTTGTCCTACTATATAAATCTCTAGTTTTGAGACTTCTGGCATGAAAATTAATGGATGTGGATGTAATAATTGTATTTAGAATAACCAAAGAAGTAGTGAAATCTTGGCCTCATTTAATGAGGTTTCTGCTTTCTTCCAAAGATAAAGAAGGTCGTGGTTTCTGATGGGTGAAATTATAGTGACCAGACAGATAACTCCCTGGTGAATTTACTTCTACACATTAAAACTTTGGAAAAGTCCCTTTTTTCACATTTCTCTTTCTTTTATCTCTGGCAAGACTTCTTTTTAACTTTGTTTCAATGCTATCCAACGCACACGTGAATTTTGCGCGCAAAATTGTCATCAAAAGTTAGGCAACAATTACTTTCTGTTTAACAGGCATTGGATGGTAAAAAAAATCACTTTCATCCATAAAATTTCAGCTACTTTCGGTAGATGAGACTTAACAACAAATATTTCGATAAATCAGATCGTTTTAAACTATCATTTTACGCCTGAAAAGGTATCACATGGTGCGTTCTATTTAACTAGTCATGCCATTTTTTTTTTAAAAGCTAGGTCAACAAAATTAGCTCCGTAAAACTCGTCGGTAAAAATTCATTTCATGAGCTGTGATTTTTAATATTGTATTAGTGCATGCATTTTAATATAAAACACAATATAATTTATCATGACGTGACCATTAAGCGAAACCTAAAGCATTTGCTATAGCTACTGGACATCAACAAAAACAAATGAAACACTTATTAAAGAAATACAACAAAAGGAACTTGTGAGTTTAAATCCAGTAGGACTATAGGACATAGCTTGCCCCAATACTTTTAAACCATGATTTTGGCTGTTCCCCACTTCCAATTTCTCCCCCGTGGCTTATTATATTATATCACCGGACAAGGTGAGGCCCATGTATTATTCTTGCTGCGTGTCCTTTTGGGTTGATCACGATCTTGATTTGGTCCTCTTTTGTCCTCCCACGTGAGGATTGAAGACGTGTAGGTTTTGAAATGGGGACAACGCTTGCAAAGCTATGGAAAATAATCTTATGATTTTCCTGTCTCATATTTTTACCTTATTTTTTCCCTCAAACATCAGTAGTATCTTAGGGCATATTTTTTTGTCTAAAAAACTCAAAAAAAGATAACTTAAGTTTTAATTTTATTCAAGTTCACGTTCTTTTAAAAGATAACTCAAAAATAATCTTATGATTTTCTTATTTTTTCCCTCAAAGATCAGTAGTATCTTAAGTACGTCCCCATTTAGCGTCCTAAGAAGAGTCTGCTGAGATCACATGTGACGCGACAAACTCAAGCCATATTCAGCAGATTCACTGAGGATCAGTTTAGTAGTACTGTAGATTTTTAAAAAAAATTAATATTAATTGAACTGGAAAAATACAATTGTTATAAAAAATAATTGAGTGTTTAGTAAACTATAATTATATAAATATTAATTATAAGAGTATTAAGGGTATTATGAAAGTTCATTAATTATATTTTAAGATTATTGTCACACAATTTAAAAGTTAAAGTTATTTTTAGACATTTTAACTGTAAATTTTTTTAAAATTTTTTAAAAATCACTTTTTATAATATATATATATATTTTTTTTTTTTTTTTTTATAATTGGACTATTTGACCTTGTTCGTGTGCATTTATATAATATTACTATTGCCATTATTATTTACATTTAAAATATGTTACATAATTCAGGTGGGAACAAAACTATAGGGTAAAAGTGCATCATGAGTCATGTTTTGAGGTCAAATACTAGCTGTAGCTAATTAATCATTCGTCTTTTGTATAATTATATTGTCTTTTGCGAACATGCGGTTTCCATGTTTATTGACTAAGGAATATTTTGGAGAGAACCTTTGGAAGTTTGCTATAAACTAAAGTCTTTGCAAGCTGGCTTCAATACAGTTGGATGTGATCCCTAATAAATGCATGCTAACATGCCAATATGACGGTTCTTGAGCACTGTCACCCTCATAGAAATGTGTAAAAAAAAAATGGTTGATTATTTTTATTTATATTTTTACTTATGTCGTCACATTCAATGACATGTTCATGGAGAAATTTTGGGGCCAAATGCCCAATAATTGATCATATGGGTATATATGCAGAAGGCAACTTCAGGAAGAAGAAAAAAAAAAAAAAAAAGAGAAAAAAGTGGAATATATATCCTTTACCTTATAATTCTCTCCTACAATCCAAATTAACTAGAGTTAAGCACTTATGTACAACACAAGTGTAGTAACATAATGGGTTCAGAAATTATAATATAGCGTACGAATATTGTTTAGTGACAGTGAGTATTTTTAAATTTTCTTTTTTCATTTTGATAAATTGATCCTTTTAAATTCACATGTATTTGAACCTATTTATTACAATAAAAAAATGGCTCTATTTCAGATTTCTTCACAATTCTCATCTTATTCAAACACCAATAATATTATATGTTTAATTCATTCTTTATCCAGACTTTATACTTTTAAACACTAATTTAAACTGGAATTAAAATTCACAAACTCACGAACTAAATGAGCTTTTAAATTTCATTTGATCTAATGGTGCCAGTTAAAGTTTTCTTTTTTAATAATTATTTCAGTAAGTGAAAAGAAAGAGAAAACGAGCCTGAGGTTGGATGGTGGATAAGATTGAGTAAGAGAGGAGTGAAATTTATGAAGATAGCCTTGCCGCCTAGCCTAGATATGCAGTGACAGGGGAAACAAATTATTCTAGCACGTGATAAAAGACAAACATGAAGGACACGATCGAAGGACATATGGCTCAATAATAAGTACATGGTACACGGCAAGGGATGAACCAAACGAAGAAATTCAATATTTTTCTTTTTTTCTTTTTTCGCTGGTAAAAGAGAAATTTAATCTCAACAGGACAAAGTAGATGCTGTTGAAAGAAAAAAAAAAAAAAAAAAAAAAGGCAATTTGAGTACATGATAAATTAAGAACTCGTTTAGTTTGCTGATTCGAATTTTTAATTTGAGTTGAGATGTGATTTTATGTAAAAACTTTTTACTGTAATAAAAAAATTAAATATGGTTGTTTCTCAAATTTTAAATTCAGATCAGTAAAATAAATGAGACTTAAATAGGAGAATTAAATCTGAATAAAGCTAGTGTTGTACTCCAAATCCCCAGTGTACTTGTATTTACATGATATGCAAGGAGCCTAGCTTTGTTTACCTCTTAAAATAAGAGCAGCCGGTCAACATGATTTTAAATTGTATGTGCCAGGCGACCCGAATTGATAGTGTTACCCGACTTTCATCAGGGATTAAAATAATAATTTTTCTGCATCTTATAAGGGAGTGCATGATAAATACTACTAAATTAAGCTACTAGCACCTGTGGCATCCTTGTGATGAATAGGTCTATTTATCTTCTTTGGTAACAATTTGTCAACAAATTAATTAGTCTACCCAAGACGACTCAGAAAATTACCTATTAAGCATAGACGGATTGCCATTGATAATACTTCACAACAAATTGATATGAGAAGTCATTTTATATAATATAAAAAAAAAAGAATTAGTTACTTTAATTAAAAGCCATGTATACCTTTGATGTCTTTGAAGAAAAATGTTGGAACTCTTTTGAACTGTAACACAAGACACTAATCTATATGCATTGTTCTTTTTGTTGATTCGAGTTAAGAATTTAAGTTTTGTTACAGTAAAAAACTCTCAGAAACAGTCACATCTAACTTTTTTACTACAGTAAAAATCTCTCACACAACATCACATCTCAATTCGAATTAGCGAACCGAACGGGCCCACAATATAGCCTACATAGGGTCAAGTTTCACCTTCAAGAGAAGAAGAAGAAGAAGGAAAAAAAAAAAATCATTATTACAAACTTATATATCTCTCGGAGCACAATAAAAACTTATATATATTATCCGCTTTCAAAAGGATTCGACTACCAACTACTCTCTGTCACAATATCATATGTTTAAATATAGAGAAGATAACGCATGCATGGCCAAATGAAATTAAACTTTGACACGAAATCTTCTTTCAAGAAGAACCTTTCTTTACCACGAAATCTTCTTTTATTATAAAGTCAAATTGTTTCTTTAGCCATTTGTCAAATATTTAGAAAAAGATACTATACAAAAGCAAAAAATAAATAAATAAAAAGAAAAGAACCACCCCGTGTGAAGGACGAAAATGAAAAAACAAAATAAATAAATAAATAAAGGAAGTTGCTGAAACATATCTGTACTAGGGTACTCAATAAAGATATAGGGCCTCTACGTTGAAGACTATCATATATAGCTTAAGAGACGTCCTCGTAAGCTACAACTACTCCACTAATAACAATATATATATATATATATATATCATCCTCATTATATATATATATATGCATTAATCGAAATCAGTTCTTTGCATTAATTCATAATTTCCTGTCTATCTTTATCTTCATTATTTCTCTGGCAACCTTCAACTCTCTCTCTCTCTCTCTCTCTCTCTCTCTCTCTCTCTAATTTTAGCCTGTGAAGATCGCTCATTGAGAAAACATGTCTCAGTACAATCAGAACCAGCCTCGAGGTAAAACGTCCCCTATCAATTGTCCTTTTGAACCTTTTCCTTGACTGAACAAATTATACCATGTTATATACATAGTTCAAGTGATCGAAGAGGAATGGAAGTTAGTGCTTACTAATTAAATAGGGTTCAACTAATCAAACAATATTGTAAATCTGTAATTACCTTAATTACGAGTTAATAACCCGATATTATTAAGAATAAATATGCAACCACAAATATGTTGATTGAGAGAGATGATATATGGTTAGATACAAATAACAAATCTTCCCTCCTCGAGTTAATGAAAAAGGAAAGAATGGGAGTAAGGCTAGTCATAATATTGATTGATGTTTTAAACGATTCGCTAAAACTTTTTCAGTATTATTAAGTGGCAATATACAGTTTTATTTTTTATCAACGGTTCGGATTGTTTTTATTTTTCTAAATGAATGAAAAATAGAACTTATGTGCGCACCTCCTAAAATTTTGGGATGTATTGTAGTTTTAACCTAGAAGTTAGGAAGAATAATGTAGTGAGTACTCAAGTTTCCCAACACCTTCATAGTTATCTTTAGTGTATTGAATTTTGTATGCTATGGTGAGAGTAGTAATTATAAAACTACCTCCCGTTAAAAAGGACTTAAAATTCCAAAATATACATGTTAATTGTTGGTATCACGGATCATATAATTATTAGATGTACAAAAGGTATCGAATAATTGAATTAACAAAATGTAAAAGATAATTTATTATCATGTTGTAAGTAATAAATTAACCATGCAACCCTTGTATATTTTATGACTAATAATTTTCGTCCTTGTACTCTTTACTCTTACCTAGCTAATTTATTTTTCCTATATGAATAAGGATATTTTTGTGACAAGATCTTTTGTTGCTTAATTAATTCTGTCCCCTTCCCATATTGTTCTTTATTCCTTCTTTTCATTTTAATCTCTTGACACTTTAAACCGCAAATAATTTGATTTGTTGGAGTGGGGTTTGGACTTTGGAATACGCGGTTTTGCAGCAAAAACTCCCGTACCTGCAGCTCCGATGACAGCTCCCAACTATGGGGCTCCACCTTCTGATGCCGATGCAATCAAACATGGCCCACCATACCCAAACTATGTTCCTCCTCGACGTAATCATGATGAGAAAACCTTCTCCAAGGGTGATGGCTTCTGGAGGGGATGGTAAAACCTCTTTTTCAATGATCTTTATATATAATATATATATATATATATATTATATAAAGATCATTGAAAAAGTTCATATTTTTTGGTAAAATATAAAAAATTTTAGGTGTAATACATGTTAGCGTCAGACAGGTCTAGTAACAGTGTTACATATATAATAAGTGTCATGCTATTATGAGAAAAATATAATGTGCGTTTGGAACTCATTTTAAAATGATTTTATTTTTTGTATATAAATAGAAATGAAAGCGTTTTTAATCTTAGATAAAAATCATTTTTAAAAATGCGTTTAGTAATTTTATCAAGAGATTATTTTCAATATAAAAAAACTCATTAACGTCTCTCTCTCTGCTCGAGAGAAGAGAAAACGAAAATAAAAAATAACAAACGACTAAAAATTATTTTTCATTTCTATTTCATTTTATAATAAACCAACAAATCATTTTTATTTCTGTTTTTTATTTTTAATTGTGTCAAAGGCCGTTTTAAAATTATTTTCTTTTTTTTTTTGAAAAACATGAAAAATAAAAACAAGAATAATTATAAACACGTCAATAGTTCTTAAGAAGACGAGACAAGCCCCTATTCACATAAGTATTTGTTTTATAGATCACTAACAATGGTGCTTTGCTCATTCTTTTGAAATTGGTCTCTACCGTGCAGTTGTGCTGGCTGGTGTTGCTATTGTTGCTTAGATATGTGCTTCTGATGAGGATTACTAGAGAACTCAAGAGAGCAAGCACTATTTTAAGTATCATATGTGTATATTTTTCGTTTTAATCCTAAGTTCTAATTATTAGATCTTGTTAGACAAGTATGTAAAAGAGGTAACGGCTCGCACATTTTGTATATTTATGCTTTCGGAAAATGCTTATATGAATCTTGATTATGCAGACAGAATAACGGTCTATTTGTGTTTATTTTACGTCAATTTGAAGACATTAGATACTTTATTGAAATATTCAAATATATCTTCAATCCGCAGCTGAAAAATATCTTCATGATTTTATTAACGACTTTTTCTTTCACTTCTTATGTTCAATAAGAAAAAGAAGTACCTAATCCTATTTATTGTTATAGTGCTTATTATCACTATTAATAAACCTTTTTTATTTTTAATACGGATGCTTTTTTTTTTTTTATGGAATACGGATGCTTTTCAATACGTAATAAACTATTAAAATACAACTACAGGACCCATTAATTTTAGCAATCTCTAAAAGCACGTAAAGTTAAGATGCTTATTGACGAGGCTGAAAACTTTTGCACTAAACAATCTAGGATCTTAATATTAAAAAACAAAAACTAGGATCTTTAACATCTTGTGGGTCCATATTGTGGGATTAAATTAGTATCCATCTTTTTTAAATACTCTCTCTATTTGCACTAAACAATCTTAGTCTTTAAGCCTGTTGTGGGGATGACGTTTTAATCAACACCGTTTATTAAAATAACGTATCAGTCAGGAGATAAAAAGTCGTAATGCGAATATAAAAAATAAGTAAAATGACACTAGATTAATTGAAATTTTTTTTTTTTTTTATCGGCGATTAATTAGTAGAGCATTGATACCACATAAAATATAGTATGAAAAAAAAAAGAGCATAATAAAATGGACTAAGCAAGCATTGAAGAAAGACAATTGCAGAATGATCAGAATGAATTAGATAATGGCATTCTGTAATTGTAATAAATGTATTAAAAAAAATAGATCATATCTACCGGTTAAAAGTCGACGATCCACATTAAATTTTAAAGAAAATCTGGATTAAATATCTCGCAACTAACTTTCGCACCCCCTAAATACCTATAAATATAGGGAATCACGATCATTTGTATGTTTGGCCGACTTGAGAGTTACTTAGAAATGATCTTTAAGTTTATTCTTTAATTTTCGAGTCTCAACTTCAAAGACCACTATTATATCTATGTACAAAATCATGGGCCATTGCTACCTCAAGAATGAGTCAAGCCTACATATAAGAGAAAATGAGACTTGTTTTATCAACAGCTCGAGTTATGAATATAGTATCCAAATCTATATATACTTAAATAAGTTAAAGTTGGCTTTTAAGGAGGCCAATGTATTGGCCTCCACTTTCTTTTATTTTTTTATTCTTTATTTTTCATTTTCAAAAACTCATCCATACTTAGTGAATGAAAAAAAAAAAAACAAAAAAATTTACTGCTAAAAGGCAATAGGTAAGCAATAATAGAGGAAAATGAAAAAAAAGGCAATAGGTAGACAATAGTGGGGAAAAAAAGACAATAGGTAAGGAAAAAAAAAGATAAGAAAAATATAAAAAAGTTAAAAATGAAAAAAAACAAGAGTTTTTTTATTATTATTTTCATTTACTATGTGTGAATGAGTTTTTGAATATGGATTGACGAAACATAAAATGAAACATGTAGTATGTTTCATTTATCTCTTTTCTGAAACACCTTTCTCTAATTTAAAACGTGCATTTTGATCTTTGTACTTTTTTGTTCATTTTAGATCTTGTGTTTTCTAATTGTGCCTTATTAAATTTTATCACCTAATATGTTCTCATTTAAATAATTTCAAATATATGCTTGCCTAAATATATATATTTTTTCTAAATGTATGTGTCTAAAAAAATATAACATACTTACACCCCGTTTGTTTTACTAATTTAACTTAGTTCAGTTCAGTTTGAGCAGTGAGCACAATTTAAACTCGTGTTTAGTAAATACACAGTCTGAATTATATTTCTCGTTTGAATTGGGTTAAACTGTCAAATTTAGAATTTAACTCTCCCCTTAAGTTTAACTGTTCAAACTATTTTTGAACAATAGAAAGGTGCACACTCTATATTTTTCACACCTACTAAATTTTAATTTGAATTGTATTTCCTGCACATCTAAACGTCAATTCAAACTACAATTTAAATTTTTCCGTTTAAATAAAAAAATTAAAATTAACAAAATTTGAAATAACAAACCAAATAGGGGCTTAATACACACGCGCGTGTTTTAACTAGTTCAGCAAAAAGTGGAAAAGTGAACCTAAGAAATGAAACAACTCGTGCACATAACAGATAACATGCCCCCAAAATAGCATTGTTTTTTCCCCCACCTCCTGCTAATTACAAAACATTCTTTGCTGGCGAAAAGACCTTTGGACCTTATAATTCCATGGTCATGAGATTCGGTTCCCATCTTTGGACAAAAGGCCACATATATATCAAAGCTCACAGCCCAAAATCATATACAAACAATAGTAGTGCATTTTGGTCACCTAGAACCTTTATAGTAATGGCCCAACGTTCCCCAAAAATCTAACACCTCATGTGCTATTGTCTCTTCCAAGTCTACCAAACATTGGCTATAAGCACTTGGCTCATTTGACTGTTCTAAGATTCGAATATAGTCCCCCTTTTTTTCAGACTTTTTCGGTAAGATTTCTCCCTATCGATAGGTTAATTTTTAACTGTTAAATTTAATTAAAATTACATTATATTAAGAAATATACATAATAAATATTTTTTAATACAAATCTGATAACTAAAGGTAAAAATTATCAATAGTTTATTTTTTTTAATCTTACTAAATACACTTCCATTTTTTTGCTTTTCTTTAAAATTTGAAAATTGTAAGTACCATATTTTCAATTCGTCGCTTACATAAATGATTAGATTTATCTTTTTTATATTTTTAATTTGGAAATTTGACTATCATCTTTTCAATTATTTACTTTTTTTTTAAGGAATTCTTTACTACTTACATAAATAGATATTATAGGAGTATATATATGTTGTCCTCTCTTAAACACGTGCACATAATTTGCTTTTTCCAATTTAGATTGAATAATGTATTGGTCGTTGGAGGGGTTGAAGAATATTTGCGATATGGTCAATAATGTTGTAGATTTGTAGGCGCTGTATTTTAAATCCTCTTTCTCTCTCTAAGCACTATATATATATATATATATTGACCCATTATAAACTTTTTTTTTTTTTAACTCAAATCACAATTTAAACTCTTTATTATAATATTTTATCTTATAAAAATTTAAATTTAACTTTTTATTATAATATTTTTTCACATAAAAAAATTAAATTATAACTTAAATTATAAAAAGAACACCTGTATATACTTGGCCGTCCAAAGCTTTTTGTGGTTTCAAAAGGGGTGGAATTTGAATTAAACTGACAACTGTACTTAATTATTCTAACCAAATACATATCCATTACGTATCCACGTGGCTTTCTTTGTCAATAGGGATGGAATTTGAATTAAACTGACAACTGTACTTAATTATTATAACTAAACACACATCCATTACGTATCCACGTGGCTTTCTTTGTCGATAGTTACACTTTAAAATTAAAGCATCGTTCATTTTGTAGATTTAAGTTTTTAATTCAAGTTGAGATGTGACATTTTTTTAAAATTTTTTACTGTAATAAAAAAAGTTAGATGTGACATTTTCTGACAGTTTTTAACTGTAAAAACTTAAAACTGAAAACTCAAATCGGTTAAATGAACGAGGCCTAAAGGATTGTAAATGGTCTTTTGTTAATCATCGATGAAGATTTATGCGCGTAGCATTGATCTTAGAGTTGACGATTTGGATAGTGATATGATGATACGACTGGCAATTCACACGAAATTAATTAACACGATTAATACGATTAATAAATAGGTTGAGTTAGGGTTGACCTCCTAACATGAAGTGATACGAATTGACACGATTAACTATATGTGTCATTTATAATCTCATGATATGTGATATAACATGAAAATTTTTATGACATATTAAATACAAATAATGTGAATTTTAATAGTTATAGGTAAAATTCATTTATTTTTTTTAAGGAAAAGATAAATTGACCAATAAACATGTTAAACCTGTATTGATTGTGTTAAATAAGTCATTATTATATTAATTATTTATTAAATATATTAATTTAAACGGGTTATATGAGTTGACACGATTAATAAATGAGTCATATTTTGGCTGACATTTTTAACACATTTAATAAACATATCATGTTTAGGTTAATATTTACTGACACTATTAATAAATAAGTTGACACGAACATGACTCACTAATACAAATTACTACCCTTAATTAATCTCATAGTTGTCCTCATCTAATTATTATTTTTGTTAATATATAAAAAAGCTAGGTATCGGCGTGTTTAGTGGTATTATTGAAAATTTATTTTGTCTTTAATAAAAGTTTAACCAAATATAGTATGTAAACAATATAACAGGGACTGCAACCACAAAAGTAATTAAGAAGTTGTCCTCATATTTGGTTACACTTTTATTAACAACAAAAGCAAATTTCAATAATATTGAAATTTGCTTTTGTTTTTAATTAAATTTCTTAACCAAAATTTCTTAAGAAATAGTTGTCCTCATCTAATAACCACAAAAGTAATGTTATTAGAGAATCTCCAATATAATGTTATAATTGATGTGTTAATTGTAAACTTAACATTTAAGTATAAAAAATACTCTCCAATACAATACTATTTGTTGTGTCAAATTTCTCATATGCTATACTTTGTGGCAAATTTCCTACCAAATATAGCATATGAAAAATTTAACATTTGATTGTCATTAATTGAAATGTTTATTTTTTCATGTAATCATTGCAACTTTTTTAAAAGTAAAAGTTTACTTTTATAATTTTTAAAACTTAATAATTATGAGAAAAAGTAGATTTAGCATTTTAAATGACATTATGTATTGGAGTAAAAGTGAAAATAACATGTTGTTGATCTCCGAATCAAATTCAGATGCGGAAGCGTGGCGGGGAGGCAGATTGTGTATAATAAAAATTTTCATAAAACCTTTAAGATACTCTATAGATTATATTAATTTATGCACAAATAAATTAATCTCATTAATTCATTTATT